GGGGGGTGTGTGGGGGGGGGGGGGGGGGGGGGGGGGGGGGGGGGGGGGGGTTTTTGGCCGGCTCATAGTAATGATCTTTTAGGTCAATTAGTCAATGTGTATACTTTTTGGGTCATTAAGTACAAGTGTGTGAGAAAAGACAATAGGAACCTTAAAATAAAGTCAGAACCTAAAAATCATCATCCATATCCTAAACAATATCACGCAAATCTCTCAATTAAAATCTCTCTCTAATAGATCCTAAAAAATTCCACCTAGATTCTAAAAAATCTCACATAAATCGCTCTCCCCTTCACGTACGTCATGTGACTGTTATTGTGATCACTTGTGTGTGTGTTAGAGAGAGATAATAGGACGAAAGAGGGATGAGAGAGAAGCGAAATATATTCAATTGGATAGTTGGATAATTATAACAGCAAAATGTCTTTTAATTTATGGCCAGAATAGGAAATAAAAAGAAGAAAAAGAGTCCTATGGATCTACTTACTAGATAGATTATATCTAATATTCTTACTGACCCAATAAGATCTCATCTAGACCTATTGGCAGAAGAGATTTTCATATTATACTTGATTTCAATTTTCATGAAAAAAAATATATATTAAAAATTCAATAAAAATTGGACCAAATCTGGCCCAACTCTAAAAACTTGGTCCGGCACAACTCTAAAACTCTGCTCCACCTCTGACGAGATAGAGTCGAAAGCAGACCCGTAATAATTTAAAATTAGAGTCAAAGTCAAAGGGCAAAATCCCCTTCGACTCCAATCAGAGTCGGGGTAAGTGTCTGTGCTCTCCAGCTCCATCAAAATCAGAACCCACGCCTACTTTTGTCAATATCAAGATTTTTAAGTAAATATTAGAACTTTTGAAAAAGTAAATTCTCGAGCTCAAATCCACATACCCTTTTTTTTTTTTTGAACTTTTTTTGTTAGAAACAATACAAACACATGGTGAAGGGTAACCTCGATGGCACTCATACACAATGAACATGGTAAAAAATATGTATGACATTTTGAGAAATTCAGAACAAAACTAATAGCATCTTTAGATTCATGTTCATTAATGACCAAAATGCACCTAGCAAATATTATCAAAATTTCCACCATACAAAACAGAGCCACTGCATGACTGCATCATACTACCACAAAAATTCGTTACAACTTTCAGGTGACAGAACAATGAACTATTATATATCCTTATTTCACACTGTTGTACCCTCGTTGACAAAATCTTAACAAAACATACGCCAACAATTGTTTGTCATACTTCAATCTTCCTGCCACCATAAACTGCAAATTCAGTAGCTTTTGTCGATAACCACAGGACTATCCAAAAAATGTGACTTGCAGGTCATCTGATGGCCAAATTTGTGGAAGAGCAGCACCAAGTGACATGAGCATGTACCTTCAAACATGACATTAAAAAAGCCTTCTCCCCTGACCACTCTGTGCACCTTAGCCCCAGTTATTTATCCTTTTCAACACTCCTAATAATTATCTCTATGTTACAACATCTATAATGCTAGCTCCAGATGGAAGCTGTAGAAGTTTAACTACTAATCTCTATCATCTATTTCCAAGTAACTTCTGCCTCTTGTGTACTCTATCCCATCTATAACTTCAAAACACTATCCTTACCACCAGATGCTACCTTCTCACCATTTGGACTCTAGTCAACAGCAAAAACCTTCCAAAATTGAAAAGAAAATTTATCATCTTACTGTGAAAAATGGTTGTCAGTGTTTTGAAGGCAAATATACTTCATCTGCATGGCTGGGCAAGTCTTGTTTCAACTTCTGCGTCTTGATATCCCAAACCTACATAATAGAAGAAATTTTAGATTAGCAATCAAGGACATGTTCTTTAGTAGGAACAAATCAAAGCGAGAGTGAAATTATGACTTCATGCTCAAAGGTTGAGGTTTGATGCATAAAAGAATAAGCAATGCTACAGGGACCTTAGTTGGGGACCTTATTTAAGGACCTAATGATGTGGCTTCAATGCAACCATTACATTAGTTGTGAGTTCTGATGTTAGATGGAGCTCACAACCAATGTAATGGTTATACATCATTAGGTCCCTAAATAAGGTCCAAATAGTATTTTCCTAAAAGAATACCTAGACTAACCCACAGTAGGTATTTTTGATAGAATAATTTTTTACTAAAGAGTTAAATGACAATTTCATCTGAACCTAGTAACTCTGAAGGAAAATATTAGACTAATGTCAAGGTACTTAACTTCACATGTGAAAGAAAAAATCATACCAAAGGAGATTTAAAGACTAATATCAAAGTGATGCAGGGATGAAAGAAGGAAGACAACAGGCTTACCGAAACCTCGCAATGATTACGTCAAGAAACACAAAATTAGAGATCATACTTGAATCAAAATTATAGTGATTACATTAGTAATTATAGAATAAGTCTTCTAACAACACTAACATTATTCTCCTATTAAAAACTCCACATCTCCCAATCAAGTATACGCTAGTTAACCAAATAATGTAATAAATAAATCCACATACACAAAATCCAAAATGCCAGCACGTGAAATTTTGCTCAATGCACTTCCGATGATCGGAGATTTCAAAAAACACATCACTTGCATTTCCATGCAATTATATTTTTGTAATGACTCAAATATTGGGCCAACACCTCTACTGATCATACCCATAATGTCTCTAGAAGATAGGTTATACCCAACATGATTCACTAACGAAGGAACCACAAAACCAAAACACAGAAAATACACCATACCTTCAAAGTAGAGTCTTTGCTCCCACTTAAAAGTAGCCTACTATCAGTAGACCAGCTACATGGCAACATAAAACATGATAATTAGCTTTGTTGCAGATGTTTGTGGACATATTGAAGAGGTAAAAAGTAAACCTTATTCGGTAGATAGGTCCCACATGACACTGGAACGCAGCAACAAATTTTCTAGTGATACCATTCCATAACTTGACTGACTTGTCAAATGAGGCACTTGCTATCCATTGCCCATTGGGTGAAAAGTAAACACGGTTCACAAGCTGCAAGAGGGCAGTAAAATCTAGACTCAAATGTGAGCTTGGAAAGCAAATCTAGTGCAAATAGTTACAGTTATACCATAGAAATCTCATCACACACGCCCAACTATACAAATAAAAATAGTACTTCTATCATCACCTTGTGCCATGTTTTGCTCTAACTTTCTTCATAGCATGGGTCCCCATAGGCTGGGCTAGAGTGAACCCCAGCCACATAACTTGAGGAACTTACACACTTCATACTAGCCCAAGCACAAACCCGACCTAGCCTTCCTAAGGCTAGATGTGCCCAGCCCAAACGCAGCCCTTGCATACATTTCATGGCTTAGACCCGAGCGGACTAGGCCATGTCGTGTGTATGTATTCGGGCACTCTATGCCCCCGCCATTGATGTTACACATCCAATGAGCATTATAATTCCCATGTCTTTCTTAGGGTGGGTATTTATGGCTTTACAACAACGGGCACCCAACTGACACGACATTTATGGACTTTCACCAATGGCTCCGCATACGTCGACACACTTTATGGACTCTATACCAACGAAGTGTATATCCAAATCACCGGGTGTTACAGTCGAGGGACAATCTAGCCCTTCTTACTAACTCCAACCCTATTTTCAATGCAAACCCATGCAACTTAGTCGAACCTTGGTCCAACTTTCCCTAGCCCATGCATCATCCACCAAGAATGATATTTGATCAATAATAAGGCACACATCCACACTCATGTCTCATGCCCACGAATTCGATGTTTCCTATACATATGCAAATGTAATGTACAATTGCATTTCTAATATCAAGTTCAATATGTCATTAGCACATTATGAACAATTTCAATATCCATCAACATTTTCCATGGTCAATTATATCAAAGCATATAACCACCATCAATAACCTCACCAAAGCATATTATAACATTGTCAATGCAATTAACACACTTAATCAACATAGGAATTTCATCAATCACCTTCAAGGCATAATTATAAACACATAACATGCCTCTTTCACCACATATCTCAAGAAATCACAAATAAGTAATTTCAACAAATTCTATTCATGCTAGAATTGATTTTAGTCATTCTTATACATATTTTCCACATTTTAAATACCATAGGTATGTGCAATACATGAGATTAAATCTCTAACACCCAACCAATTTCATATTGCAACCCCAGGTTAGAAATAAACCGAGTTAGGAAAAGAACCATACCTCTCGAATCATAATTTGAGCTGTAGAAAACTCCCAAGAATCCAAATCAAGCCCTAACCCTTAATTTTTAAAAATTCCGTATTTGAAAATTTGTCAAAACCCGTGATTTTTGGGACATAAACATAGCCCTCATTGAGTATATGAACTTTGGTTCTTGGCCCGAAGGATTTCGACCAAAGGTTGGCCCTATATCGTATAGAAAAGATGAGGACCTCTAGCTTTTTTCCTCTCTTCTCTTCCCCTATCTTTTATGAAATTCAGCTGGCCAAAATGGGGAGAAAATCTGATTTTCTACTTTATTTATACTTCTTGGATACTTGGCCCACATTACGCCACACATCCGCCTTTCCCAGGTCCGATTTCGGCCCGAATCAATTAAATTTTGTCCTGTTTCGAGTTCAATATATTTTTATTTGAACTTCCTTTAAATTATTTTCCACATTTTGTAATTTATTTCTGATCGTGTTTATTTTGGTCACGTGACACCCGATCACCTTGTAAAATGCAAAAAATCTGACTATCTCGGAATTAAACAAAAATTGATTGGGTAACTAGATTTATTTGAGATGAATCCAACGGTGAGGTCTGTTTCTTCATATGAGTGCTTGAAAAATTTGGGTTTTCAACCCTTACTATAGTGGCTAATTATCGTTTTGTCCTTTTTCATAAAAGTTTAAATTTTATTGGGTTTTACATTGTTCCCCCCTTAAAAAGAATTTCGTCCCTAAAAATTCACATACATGGACATTCAACCACATGCATATGCAACAGTCATATAACACTTAATGACCAAAAGAATGTACCTCCATCCTTAAACAAGAACGGATACCTGGCACGTATAATGTCCTCATGCTCCCATGTCACCTCGTCCACACCACGATGCTGCCACATCACCTTCACCAATCTCACGGTCTTACCTCATAAAATCTGCTCTCGATTATCCATGATATGCACTAGTCCCTCCTCGAAGGTCCCATCCACGTAAACAATCAGCTCACCCCAATACACCACATGTGTAGGATCTAGAGTTTACTTCCGGAGCATGCTGACATGGAACACCATGTGAACACCTGACAAATTTAGTAGTAACGCTAACTGATAAGTGACTGTATCAACCCTCTCGAGTATCTCAAAAGGCCCAATATACCTTAGTGATAGCTTTTCTTGCTTTCTGAACTTGACTACTCATTTCTTGGGCATCACCTTCAAGAAGACGTGATCTCCAACCTCAAACTCCAGAGGTCATTGTCGTATGTCGGCGTAGCTCTTATAGTAGCTCTGAGCCGGCAGAAGATGCATCCATATCAAGTCCACCTTCTCCGAGGTGTTTCTAACCAAATTCAAACCCGCAGAGGGTCTCTCTTCAACCTTCATCGAACAAATCGGAGAACGACATGGCCTCCCATAAAGTGCCTTATAGGTGTCATCTGTATACGTGTTTGATAACTATTTTTGTAGCCGAACTCTGCTAAGGATAAGTGCTCTTCCCAGCTACCCTTGAGATCAAGGACGAATGCTTGTAACATATCCTTTAAAGTGCGGATGCTCCTCTCTGATTGACCGTCCATCTAGGGATGAAAAGTTGTGCTCATCATTAACTATGTCCCCATTAATTGTTGGAAACTTTCCCAAAAATTGGTCGTGAACATAGGATCCCAATCCCATACTATAGATACGGGCACTCCATGTAACTAGACTATCTCCCATATGTACAGCCTGCAAAATTCTTCTAGTGTGAAGGTCATCCACACTACAAAAAAATGTGCCAACTTCCTAAGCCGGTCCACTATCACCCACACCGCGTCATGCTCCAACGATGTTCGTGGCAAGTGGATCACAAAATTCATTGTGACGTGCTCCTACTTCCACTCAACCACCTCCAAAGGCTGGAGCAACCCTTCTGTTCTCTGGTGCTCAGTCTTGACCTACTGACATGTGAAACATCGACTAACAAAGTCCCCAACGTGCCTCTTCATCCCGCTCTAATAGTACTAGCAGCAAAGATCATGGTACATCTTCATGCCAATTAGATATAAATCCAAATAGGAGCAATGAAACTTCATAAGTAGCTCCTTTCTCAGATTCATAGACTTGGAAACCATAACCCTTCTCCTAAACTAAAGACTACCATCCGCGTGAATGTCCTAACCCTGGTCACTTGTACCCGACTATACCTGATGGACAATATCCCTGTGTCCTGCCCGTAGGACTCGATCACTCCGCTCAGTAGGGAAGACATAGTCACCAAACTCCCAAAAGTGTCCTGAGCCTTGCTCACGAAGTGTAGCCAGAATTGCCCCACAGTCCCGAGCATCGGCCACTCTCAGGAAGCCACACTAGCTAAGACTCCTCGTGACTTCCAGCTGAATGCATCAGCCAACACGTTTGCCTTACCAGGATGATAATGCAAAGTGAAGTGATAGTCCTCTAAATACTCCATTCATCTGTGTAGCCTCATATTGAGGTCCCACTGCGTAAAGCTGTACTTTAGACTCTTGTGGTCCAAAAACACCTCAAACTGCTCACCATACAAATAGTGGTGCCAATCTGTCAAGGCAAAGACAATAGCTGCCAACTCCATGTCATGGGTGGGGTAGTTCTGCTCGTGTCTCTTTAATTGTCGAGAGTCATAAGCTACCACCCTCCTAGACTGCATTAGTACATACCCAAGTCCGTCCTTGGGGGCAACACAATGCACTGTATACCTCTATCCCCTCCCCAAAACTATCAGAATAGGAGTTGAAGTAAGCCTTATTTTCAACTCCTCGAATGCCTTCTCACACGAGTTATCCCACTGAAACTTGACCTCCTTCCTGGTCAATCTGGTCATAGGTGCAGGTAGTCAGGAGAAATCATCAATGAACCTCCTATAATACCCCGCAAATCCTAAGAAACTACGTATCTCGAAGACTGACTTCGCCCTCTCCCAACTCATGACTGTCTCCACCTTCTATAGGTCCACGAATACACCCGAAGCAGGCACCATGTGTCCCAAGAATTTCACCTCTGTTAGCCAAAATTCACACTTGTTGAACTTGAGGTATAATTGATAATCTCTCAAGTTTTGGAGAACAATCCTTAACATTCATGCTCCTCCTCAAACTTGGAGTAGATCAAAATGACATCAACAAAGACCATCACAAACCAATCAAGATAGGGTTGGAACACCCTATGATCTAGATACTTGGAACTTATCTACCGGTAGAAGTCCCAAAACATACTAGTAGAACTTTTCCAGAAAGCCCATACACTTCCCCACACGACTCCCCCAACCACGGGGACCCACATCTGGTCGTCTAAACCATAACCTAACATGTTTGACAACCCATGATGCTTTTCTAATCCTAAAGTCATATTTGAAGTAAGAGAGAGGGGAGAAGTAAGAGACAGAAGAGGGGTTGTTGGAGAAACATAGGAAGACCATGCTTGGACTGAACTAGCTTGTTGAAGTGGACAACCTCTCTCAAATCATTCCAATTCAGTTCACTCATGCAAAGGGAGAGGGGATGGACAAAAATTAAAGAAATCTTACAACATTATTCAATTTTTGGACAAGCTTTTAGAAAGAGGGAGAGGCTACCTAAGCTTAGGAATAGTGTAGAGAGAGAAAGCTAGGGTTCTTTCTTTTTCCTCACCATTTTCATTCTTGTAAGCTTCAATCTACATGTAATCTTTCTTTCTAACACTTTAATCTTGTTCATTTCAAGCAGTATTGAATTTAGCTAGGGTTTACTAGTTCTATTGCTTGTATTTCTGTATTTTCTCTTTAAGTTTTATATTTTTGTGTATGA